GTCAACAACATGAGAAGAAGAAGAAGCCTCAGTACCATGATTAGCTGGTGCTGTTACCCAGTACTGTGTACTGTGCCGTAGGATGTCTTCTAAAACGGTTCGTAAATGTATTGTAGCGTCTTGTAGCAGTACTGTCGGGCTGCACGGGTTTCCGGAGGACCTGGAGGTCAAGCGGATGTGGGTTCGCGCGCTTCGTTTATCAGACGGAGACAACATCCCGCCGGGTTTCGGAGTCTGCAGCAAACATTTCACTCGGGACTCTTTCTCCAACTACGTCCAGTTCAACATGGGCTTCATCAAGCAGCTGTATCTGAAGAGCACCGCTGTTCCGATCCTACAGCAGCAGCAGGGATTCACACTTCTGTCGGTGAGTCCGAGATTATGAGTTCATCTGCAGCTGAAGTCGGTTTCAGGTGTTGTTTTGTGACCGTCGAATATTGTGACCAGAGGGGGCGCTGTGACGTTTCTACAACAGAACTTGGCCGAACGTGGTCACAAAGAAGAATATGAAACACCACCAGTGTGTCAGAGGCTGAAAACATACAAAGAAAAAAAAACAAAAAAAAAACTGTTGACTGTTAAACATGGTCACAATAAATGACAGCTTGTCATATATTGTGACTTCATTGTAGCTAAGGAAATAGTACAGATTTTTATTCAAAAACTGTTTCTACTAATTGTTTACATCCTCTAGTGCAGAGGTGCCCAAAGTGGGGCCCGTGGGCCAAAATTGGCCCGCTGAGCCATTTGATTTGGCCCACCAGCAGTTGTCCTGGTTACTAGATTGTAATTGTGTTAATATTAAATATAAAATACAAGTAACTACAAGGGACATTTAGATTAGATTTAAGCCCATATATAGATTTGCACACCTTTATAAAACCACATATACTCAAATTTTAAATTATGAAAATTCCCATGAGCCTTTGCTGCCTGAGCATACATTGAATTTTCTCCACTTCCATGGGCTGAAAAAAGCAACAACTAAAGAATGTGGGCAACCACACTGGCTGCTAGCTTAATCATAAAAATAAAACAAATTTACTTAAGTATTTGCATTTCAAATATTATTGCATTTGGCCGCGGCCCTCGGATTGATTTTATTTTTGGCCCTGTCAAGGAAAATGTTTGGGCTCCCCTGCTCTAGTGTCAGAAAAATAACTTTTGATCACTGACATGTCATGGTGACTGTTATTAAATTAGTACAGGGTCACAAAATATGAGACCTATTATCAAATATAGTGTTAATAATAATAATAGTCAACATGCCAGTGATCAGAAGTTATTTTTCTGACATTAGGGGATGTAAACAGTAGAATCACCTTTTGAATAAATATTTTTTACTATTTCTTTAGCTAAAGTGAAGTCACAATATATGACAATATGTCATAATATTTGACCCTGTACTTAATATAATAACAGTCACCATTTCAGTGATCAAAAGTTATTTTTCATCAGTCTWCCAATGGCTGTGTCCAAAACGACAGGCCGGGTCCTCCGGAGGACCCAGACTACCCGGTCTCGGTGGGCCGGAAAGACCGGGAAGACCGGAAAAAAAGAGGCTGTGAATTTGGACGGTCTAGCCTCCCCTCCTTACCCCGGCGTACGTCATGTCACCTAGCAACTGTGACGACGCTAAACAAGCAAACTTAAATCAAAACTAGAAAAATATCAATACATTAGCATTATTAATATTAGGGATGTCCCGATACCACTTTTTCACTTCCGATACGATACCGATATTACAACTTTGAGAAATGTCCGATAC